GTCTTAGAACTGTAAAGAAATGAATTCTGTCAATGATGGGAAGGAGTTGGGAGCAGGTCTTTCGGTACTTGAAACTCTGAGTGGAGATATAACTTGCCCACACATTTTAGCCTTCTGACCTACAGGATTCTTGATTCAGAGAAACTACAAAATAATAAATGTATGCTCTTTTAAACCACTAAGTTATTGGTAATTTGCCTGTTCTTGAGACAGAACACTATGAAAAAGCCATGCCCCAGTGGTGCCTCACTGATGGAGCTGGGTGGCAAAATGCTGGCTTCCTCTACTATATTAGCTTCCTGTTGCTGCTATAACAAATCATGACAATTTTGGTGGCTTAAAACAACACAAATGTATTATCTTACAGTTTTGGAGATCAGAAAGTTGAATGCATCTAAAACCAAGGTGTCCACTGAGCTGCATTCTGTCTGCAGAGTCTGTTTCCTTGTTTTTTCCCCCCAGTTTTTAGAGGTTTCCTACATGGTTTGGCTCATTGCCCTTTCCTCCATCTTTAAAGCAAAGCACTCCAACCTTGTGATCACATCACCCCTCCTTTTTTTGACCCTTTTATCTTACTCTTATAAAGACACATGTGGTTACATTGAGCCTACCTGAAAATCCAAAATAATCAAGATCCTTAACTTAATCACATTTACAGTCTCTTTTACCATGGGAACATATAAGAATAAGAATATATTAAAATATAAGAATATATTTTCCATATAAGAATAAGGGAACATATTCATAGGGTCTGAGGATTAGAATGAGCAACGGTTCTGTAGAAGCCACAAAACTGAATTTGAACCACAGTTCACAAACATAGGCTAGGATATACATTCTTAATATAAACAGGTTAACTAAATACTAAACTAGGAAATGTAAATAAGAACCAGAGTCTTATAATACTGGGTTGGCCAAAAATTCTTTCAGGTTGTTCAATACCATCTTACAAAAATTCCAAATGAATTTGTTGGCCACCCTAATAAAAAATGCTCAGGGTATAGTCCAAACTTATTCACCATATTAAGAAAATATCAACTCAAGTAAGAAAAGACAAGCAAGAGTTACCAATGCCAAGCTGACACAGATGTTGGAAGTATTGGGCAGGGATTTTAAAGCAGCTATTATTAAAATGTTCTAATAAGCCATCGCACATACTCCTGAATCAAGTGGGGGAAAAAAGAAAAAGAGAAAACCTTAGAAAATATTTATACAAGATATAAAGAAGAACCAACTGGGAATTTTAGAATTTAAAAATATAAAATCTGAAATAAAAACACATTGGTGGGTGTTTTGATAGTTCCAAGGATTTAATTTATCAAGGTAACTGCATGAGGATACTGAGAGGTCAATACTATTGAAAGAAGAGTTTATTCAAGGGGCATGTCGTGCCATGCGGGGCTAGATGAAAAAATGCCAGCATGGACACAAGCCATTTTGGCTTCCAAAAGAAGGAAGGGGTAGGCAAGTTTGAGCAATCCTAGGAATGGATTGTTGTGTTTTTTAAATTTATTTATTTATTTAAACTGGAGGATAATTACTTTACAATATTGGTGGTTTTTCCCATGGGTGCACATGTGTCCTATACCTTGAACCCCCCTCCCACCTCCTTCCCCACCCCATCCCTCTGTGTTGTCCCAGAGCACCGGCTTTGAGTGCCTTGCTTCATGCATCGAACTTGCACTGGTCATCTATTTCACATATGGTAATGTACATGTTTCAATGCTATTCTCCCAAATCATCCCACCGTCACCTTCTCCCACAGAGTCCAAAAGTCTTTTCTTTACATCTGTGTCTCTTTTGCTGCCTTACATATAGGATGGTTGTTGCCATCTTTATAAATTTCATATATATGCGTTAATATATAGTATTGGTGTTTCTCTTTCTGACTTACTTCATTCTGTATAATAGGCTCCAGTTTCATCCACCTCATTAGAACTGAGTCAAATGTGTTCTTTTTTATAGCTGAGCAATATCCCATTGTGTATATGTACCACAACTTTCTTATCCATTCATCTGCCAGTGGGCATCTATGTTGCTCCATGTTCTAGCTATTGTAAACAGTGGAACATTGGGATACATGTGTCTCTTTCAATTCTGGTTTCCTCGGTGTGTACGCCCAGCAGTGGGATTGCTGTGTTGTATGGCAGTTCTATTCCCATCTTTTTAAGGAGTCTCCACACTGTTCTCCATAGTGGCTGTAAGGACTGGATGGTTTTGATAACCACTGGGTTACAGTGATGGTCTCTACCTGTCTAGTACTTGGCCCTGGGGGTGCTGACTTAGGGCAGGGGAAATACTGGCTTGATGTGTGAATGTTAGGTAGGAAAGGTTGTTGGGATATGGGCTCTGGAGTGGTTGGTTTGCAATGTAAAAAACTCGGGTAGGGGAGTCATTTGCCATCTGAAGGAATTAGTTAGATCTGGGAGGGCCAGTCTCCCTCTGGTCAGCAAGGGCCCCAAGATATGAAAACAATATAAAGTATAAAAAATAAAAAAATAATTAAAACAATGGCTCACTAGTGAAATGGGGTGCCAGAAGAGTCAGTGAACTTAAAGATAGAGCAATAGAAATGATAAATATGAACACCAGGGAAAAAAAGAGATTTTTTAAAAAAATGAATAGATCCCCCCAGGACTTGTGTGATAGTAACAGCAGATCTGACATTCACATTATCAAAGTTTCCAAGAAAGAAACAGGATACTGAGCAGAAAAACATTTGAAAAAACAATGGCTCAAATTTGGTGAAAGACATACGCTTCCAGATTCAAAAAAATGAGTGAACCCTAAATAGAATACATTTTAAGGGATTCACACCCAGGTACATCATAATCAAACGTCTGAAAATGAAGGACAAAGAAAAACTTTTGTAAGCTGCCACAGCTAGAGAGAAACAATGGATTACTGAGAAATAATGATTCAAACAACAGCAGGTTTCTCCTCAGAAACTTGAAGGACAGTGGAAGGAAGAGACAAACATTTTTCAAGTCCTGAAAGAAAAACACTGTCAACCCAGAATTCTTTACCAAGTAAAACGTATCCCTCAGGAAGGAAGGTGAAGAAACACTAAGAGAATTTGTTACCAGCACCCCTGCTCTACAAGAATGGCTCAGTGAACTTCAGACAGAAACGAAAATGCAATGAAAGGCCACTGCTGCTGCTGCTGCTAAGTCACTTCAGTCGTGTCCGACTCTGTGCGACCCCATAGACAGCAGCTCATGGGATTTTTCAGGCAAGAGTACTGGAGTGGGTTGCCATTGCCTTCTCCAGAAAGGCCACTAGGCCATCACAAACTGAGAAAGAGCAGTGGGGTCGTATGGATCGCATTTTGCATAACACTCTTAGAGTGACAAAGTTACAGTGATTGCAGGACTGATCAGTGGTTTCAAAGCCTTAGGACTGGAAGAGGGTGTGATTATTTAGGTGGTTACTGAAGTGTAACACAAAGATGTTTCTTCCTTCTTATTGGGACAGTTCTGGATTCTGATTGTGGCAACGGTTATAGAAATCCACAAATGTGGTAACACTTCAAATTTTACCCCCTAAAAAGAGTGTATGTGAAGAAAGACTGGTAAAACCAAATAAGGTCTGTATGTGAGTGAACAGCATTGAACCACTGAATTTTCTGGATTTGACATGTTACTATGGTTATAGGAGATACTATCACTGGGGTGGTATTAGGTACCCAGAAACTCTTTGCAATATTTTCTGCAACTTCTTGTCTTAAACATTTCCAAAACAAATTGTTAGAATGACAATATAGGACATATTTTAGTTTTTAAACAATTTAATAATTTATAAAGGTAACATCCTACCTTTATAGGTAGGAAAGCAAAGGTTGAAGAAAATCAGCTGAACTGGCATTTGATGTAGGAAAGATTCTGGTTCAGTGAGATCATTCTGGGCATACCCGGTCCAATATACACATGCTTATGTGCATATGCATACACATACACACACAGACACACTTACAGCCACTTAGATTTCAATACTTCTCTGTCGTTTCTAGTATTCTCTTTCTAGCCATCTAAGTATTTTCTTGCTTAGCATTAGCAAAGACCTCTCAGGAGATTGTTCCTCTTTTCCTATTGGTGGTCTGACCCATTTAACTCCTCCCTCATCTCCTAATCTTTTTAAAGTCTATAACTTAAAAGACAAACAAAAAAAAATTTGGCTGTCCCTTGCAGCTTGTGGGATCTTAGTTCCCTGACGAGATCAAACCCAGGACCTCCACAGTAAAAGCATGGAGTGGAGCTGGACCATCAGGGAATTCCCTGAAGTCTTTATAATTCTTGTCACCATAAAATTCTAGCCTCCATTTCTAATAGTGATACTGCCAGCAGCCTATTTAACATCCCAGAATTTACTGCCACCTGATTGGATATGATCAAGCGAGAGAGCACGTTCTGAAGGCTGACTCAGCATTAAGTGACGTCAAAAAAAGGAGGCAGGCTGGAGGTGCTCGGTCTCACTGTCACACATCCTTTCGAAGGCTGGGGAGCGTAACTCCAGAAAGGTCTAAAGAAACACAGCAGGTAAGTAGAAAGTTGGAAGAAAGGCAAGGAGTGGTGAGAAGTCATCCCATTGATGACAACAGAGTGTGCTTAGCCACTGCAGCCGTGTCCAACTCTGTGACCCCATGGACTGTAGTCTGCCAGGCTCCTCTGTCCATGGGGATTCTCCAGGCAAGAACACTGGAGTGGGTTGCCATGCCCTCCTCCAGGGGATCTTCCCAACCCAGGGATCGAACCAAGGTCTCTCACATTGTAGGTGGATTCTTTACCATCTGAGCCACATTATCCAGCTCAAATCCTTCAATGATCATTCAGGTTGGGACTGAGAAAGGAGAAGACCATTCAGGAGAAAAGAAGGAACAGAAGGAAGAGAAAACTTCTCACGACCAAAGACTCTATTCCCGTCTTTTTCTGGGGATAGAGGGAAAAACGGTCAAGGATGGTAGACCCAGTTCTGAGGCTGCTGGGAGGGGGAACAGAGAAAGCTCAGTAGGCACTGATGACTCTGTGGATCCAGTCTGTATAGCGGGAAACCTTGGTGTAGTAGCCAATGTCACCTCTCAGAACACACCCTTCTGACCAGGATAAGATCCCCTGGAGCTGATTTTGGCACAGGATTGGGACAGCAAGTACTTCCTGTTAGAAAGAGGAGAGATGGGTCAGGCACAGTAGCTAGAACAAAGATGACCTGGTACCCAGTGCCCATCTGAGGAGCCCAGACAGAAAGACTCAGGTGATGAGGGTTGGGAGAAATGTCTGGTGGCCATCTGGGACCCATCCCATCACTCACCCTAGGCTACATCAGAGGAAGCCACAGAGAAAGGTAACACTCAGGTGTCTCCACACTCACATTCATGTTCATTCATTCTTGGTTCTTCCTGGACCACATTTACCTTGATCTCTTCTTGGATGTAAACAAGAAACTGGATTGTGTTGAAGGAGTTATATGTGGACCCCCAAACAGTGTCCCAGAACAAACTGGGGAGGGCCCAAGGGAAAAGAATTACCTTACATGTGTGTTTGCTCTCCAGAGACAATCCTGCACAGAACATGTTCTCTGTGATTTTAACAGGCATTTTTCCTATAGGGGAATCTTCACAATATTCATTAGAGAAGCAAGAGACAGTCTGCTTTATCTTGACATCAGGCTTTACCTCTGAGCACGTGCACACACACAGGGTGAGGGCGGGATGGAGAGAGAGAGAGAGAGAGAGTTTATTTTTCTTTGATCCTTCACACATTCATCTCCCTTTCTTCTCTCCTTCCCTCCCTCTTACCTGTAATTAACCTCTCTATCATTCAACGAAAGAAAAAATAAATTGAAAGGGAACCAGAGAAGAAAACATATGAAATGAGAAAGCCAGTATCTGGTTCCAGTGCTGTATACCACATGTCTTGGACTTGGGTATGCATGGTTTTACTTGTGAATGCTGTAAGTTTCTAAAGAATGAGCCACATTCAGCATCACCAGCAGGATGATCCTCCAACCCCTTCCTCACCCATACACCCTCCCACCTGCATCTGAATGATAAATGAGTCAAGAATACAGGCTTCTAGAGACCTCCAGCCATACATAGCCATGTTACCCCTTATAAGATAAGGTCTCTCCTATGACCTATTTGGCCTCAATTTCCACATTCATAAAATTAGAAGTTAAGATGTATAAGTTCTCAGGACACTAACAGCTCTCTTGATTGCTAATAATTCAGCTCTGTGATAATCCTCACAGAGTGGGCACTCAAGGAACACTAAGAGTCCATCTTGAGGGTCACTCACCAGAATTCTGCCATGACCAGCCCCAGCCAAAGACAGTGCAGTTGCTCATCCTTCTGTCAGTTGTGGGACTGGGCAGAGCTGCCAACTTTACCTGGTCGTTGAGCTTTAGGGGATGTGTCAGCTTGATGAGCACTATGTCATGCTCGGCAGAATCCTGTTTGAAACTTGGATGTGGGACAGTAAGCATGGGTCTTAAGCTCTCCATCCTTTTTTGGAAATCCTCATCTAAAATATCAATCTCCATCTCAAGAAATCTGGAACAGGCCATGAAGGATGAGCAGAGGAAATAGATATTATTCTATTGTTCATCTTGCATCATCCTACTGGGGAATCTAACTCATAACCACCAGGATCTATTTCCTGCCTCTTTCCAACCACTTCTTAGGTTTGAGAGTCTCCCATGCAAGTCTCCTTGGGGTTGAGCCATCCCAGTGACTAAGAAGGGGGAATGCTTCTCATTCCAGGACCCCATCACTCACGGTAAGAAGCAGTGTGCTGCGGTAAGAACCCATTGTTTGTGGATCAGGGTCCCCAGACAAGTGTCCTTTTCTGAGTTCAGGAAAACCAAAAAGGTTGATTCATTCTTCTGAAAGAATTTCAGGACTGAGTTTGCCTGTTCTGGTATAGATGTTCCAGTCATTGTTACTGCTGTCAGATGGGGAGAGGAAGGCAGAATTTTAGAGGCAGGGGCAGACTTTCCAAAGGATGGAAGTCTGAAATTCTTTATGTGGAAGTGCTTTGAAATGGCCCATCTGTTTCTGGTATTTAAGGGACTATTAAACTATTTCAGAATCCTTCTGTTAACTTCCCCTTGGACTTCCTTCTCTATTTGTGTCCTCCCTCTTACTCACACTTTCTCTCCCTTCCTTTCTTCCTTTTGATTCTTCCTTCTTTTCCTCAAACATCCTTCTTAGCTATATCGCAAAATCGCATTTTTTGGGTGCCAATATCCACCCTCTATTGCGTAAAATCTCATCTCAGTCTGAATCTTCTCTTATGCTCATGGAGCCAGAGGAAAAGAACCTCTGAGAGTTCTAGAAAACTACCAATCCCTGGGGTTCTGAGTTCTTAACTTTTTGGTGATCACTTGTGAAAGTAAAAGTCACTCAGTCATGTCCAACTCTTTGCAACCCCGTGGACTATACAGTCCATGGAATTCTCCAGGCCAGAATACTGGAGTGGGGTAGCCTTTCTCTTCTCCAGGGGATCTTTTCAACCCAAGGATCGAACCCAGGTCTCCCACATTGCAGGCAGATTCTTTACCAGCTGAGCCACAAGGGAAGACCAAGTATACTGGAGTGGGTAGCCTGTCCCTTCTCCAGGGGGTCTTCCTGACCCAGGAATTGAACTGGTGTCTCCTGCATTGCAGGCAGATTCTTTCCCAGCTGAGCTACCCCTGTTATCTATACCCATTTCCTACTTTTTTCCAATATAACCTTTTCAAAATTTTAAGCCAAAATAGGAATCTGCACTCACCAGCCACTGTCAGAATAGCGAAGGCCAGAAGGAAGCCATTCATGTCTGCTGTCTCCACACCCTCTTCCAGCAAGAAGATCTGGGAAGGGAGTGAATTACCAGCCAGAATTGTGAATTACCAGTGAATTACCAGGGAGTGAATTCCTGAGGCTCAGGAAGCTTTGCAAGGGGAGAAATTACAAAAAGGTGGGGAGGTTCAAGGGAGCAAGTGACTCTGAACTAAGGGAGGAAGGCATCAGAGGGAAGAAAAACAGTCCCTCTCTTTCTAGAGGGTCTGCCCTCCCACTGCAGTATGGGCAATTTATCCAAGGTGAGATTCCTGACCCCAAGGGGGATGTACTGTAAGCCAAGAACTTTGCTCTCCTTTATTGGTAAAGAGAAATCTCAGTTGGCCAATCCTGTCTGCCCTAATCTACTAGTAATACTTCAGCCCCCTGGTTCCCTTAGGTCTACTCACCTGTCCTCACTCAGCGTGGCTGATCTCTTCCTCTCTGTGTGACATTTACCAGCACTTAACTTGAAAACAGCCTCCCTCCTCTATGAGGTACAGGCCCCCTCCCGCTAAGCTGCTGATCCTGTCATGTGAGGACCTTTGCCCTGCATCACACTGGCCCTACCCCTGTCATCCTCTCCTCATGGTACACTGTCCTCACCTCCTGAAATCACGGGCTTTTAGGTCTCTTGTTTAGCTCCCACACACACCCAAGCGTCTCCCGTCAACAACCCACAGGCACCTACTTCTGCCCTGATCTGAACACCTTCTTCTCCTGTCAGATGCCCCTTGACTTCCTTCCTCAAAGGTCATCTATGCACACCCTGGCTGGTGAGCAAGCTCCTCCTCTGGTGTTTGGTCAAATGGTGGTGCTCTTTTGAATGTATTCCTCTAATTGGCTGTGAATGTTTAGCTATACTTTCTGAGCTCATAGCTATAAGTGAGATTTCCCACTCACTCTCTGATCTGGCTACACCACTAACTACACTGAGGAACACTCTGCCTCTCTGCTCCCCATCTGTGCTAATTCTTGTCTGTTACTCACTGAGCTCCACTTGTTCAGACTGGATTTTAAGAGCCCGCAGATTCCAATTTGAGTCCACTCCTCCAATCCCTTAAACCCTCAACCCAGAATATTAGTTGGAAGAACTGATGCTGAAGATGAAGCTCCAATACTCTGGCCACCTGATGTGTGGCCAGAGTATTGGAGAAGAGCCAACTCGTTGGAAAAGGCCCTGATACTGGGAAAGATTGAAGGCAGAAGGAGAAGGGGATGATGAGATGGTTGGATAGCATCACGGAATCAATGAACATGAATTTCAGCAAGCTCCAGGAGATAGTGAAGGACAGCGAAGTCTGGCGTGCTGCAGTTCATGGGGTCACAAAGGGTCGGACATGACTGAGGGGCTGAACAACAATAACCTCCAGTCCCCAAAAGGTTTCCTGGAGCATTATTTTTCTTTTTCCTCTATTATGGACTTTGTACTATAGGCCAGCCAGTTTCTGCAGTGCTTTTCCCTTTGGCCATTACTGAACATGCTTCCTTTCATTATTCGGCTCATCACACAGACATATTTGGGGGCACTTACTTTTGCTACTCCTTGTCAGGGGATCTGCCCCTGCCCCAAACCCTTGCTGCATGGCTCAAGATTGGATGTCAGAAGGCCAGAAACCGAATCCTTAGAGATCCTCCTGGGTCAAAGTGTCTCTATTTTGGTGCCCAGCCCTGGTTCTTCCTAACCTGGGTCTGACACTTCCACACTCATAGCTCATCCTATCAGACCCTCACATACTTATGGAAGGTCTCAGACTCAAGCAGCTCTACTTACCTGGTTCATAACCTTGACTTCCTTAAGGACAGGATTTATATCTGATTTAACAATGTGCCTCCAGACCCTAGCACAATACCTGGCACCACACAGATTTTACACACACACACACAACTTTTTTAGATGAATGAGTGAATACCACTTTTTGTTTATCTTTTGACTTAAAAGCCTCAACAACCTGCAACACTGACCTAACTCCAGGAAATCTACGCTCCCTGACTTGATTTAGGTCATTTCCCCATGAGTTGTAGTGGGAATAGTATTCCCAGATCATGGTCTTTGATTAAATCAAGGATGAGGTACTGGACATCACTGACTTGAAATTTAATCTTTTCTTCTTTTAAAAGTTTAATTAAAGTATAATGACAGACAATAAGTACACATGTTTCAAGGGTAAAATTTGGTAAATTAATGAGCATACTCCCGAAAGATTCCTTATGTCCCTTTGTGATGCCTTCTTTTGTCCCTCTCAACCACCACCTTTTCACCAGACAACTACTAACCTGTTTTCTGTCACTATAGGTTCAGTTATACTTTCTAGAATTTTAGATAAATTGACACACAGTATGTTTTCTTTTTTCCAAAATCTGGCTACTTTCACTCAGCATAATTAATTTGAGATTCATAGATGCTATTGTGTAACTACAGAATTCATTTATTTTCACTGCTGAGTGATATTCCATTGTACTGGCACGCCAAAATTTGCTAATTTATTTACCCATTGATTAACGTTTGGGTTGTTTCCAGTTTGGGGCTGCTACAAATAAAATGTGTATGAAACCACTACATATGTGTGTCTTTATGTAGACATATGCTTCCTTTCCTCCTGGGAAAATAACTAGAGGTGAAAAGGGCTGGATTATGTGTAGTAGGTAATGGTTTAAGTTTTAAAGGAATGGCCAAATTATTTTCCAAAGTATTTTACATGCTCACCAGAAGTGTATGAGAGCTCCAGTTCCTCTATATCATCACAAACAGTTGATGTGCTCAGCCTTTTAAAAAATGATTTTTTAATTGAGATATAATTGACAGATTACATTGTATTAGTTTTACATATACAGTGTGCTCAGTCTTTTAATTTCAGCTATCCTCATAACTATGAAATAGTGTTTCATTTTGGTTTTAATTTGCAAGTCCCTAATGACTAATGATGATGAAATCTTTACACGAGCTGGTCATTCATGTATCTTTTTTCCATAGTATGTTCAAATCCATTAAAAATTGGATTCTTTCCTTATAATTGAGATGTGAAGGTTTTAAAAAATATCTTCTAGATGGGACTCCTTCAATACTTCCAGAAGCTGGAGAAATGGACTCCCCCAAGTCCATCCACACGCCTCGTCCCTGGAATCAATTATTTTCAATTTTCTAATCTTTCTATTTCCAAACTCCAAAGTAAAGAGCCACACTATTCATTACTGACATGAATCCCATATATATTTTTCTTTCAGGCTGCTTTTCTTTCCACACAAGGTAGATGACCAGGTATACCACAGATCTTTTCCTGCTGGAAAAGTTGCCTTTCACTACTGTTTTCTAGGGCCATATTTGAATGGGTTTCTAATGTAGCAGTCCATTTCTGACTTTACACATACCAAGCAGACCCATCTGTACACCAAGCAGAGGTTTTTTCTTTTCCAAGAGCTTGTCATAAGGAAAGGTAGGGAATCTCCCTGCCTCCCACCCCTAAAACAAGCATATGTGTAAACTGAGGAAGGGGCAACAGTGCCATAGTGTGGATGACACAGGAATCTGAACCATCTACTTTTGCTGCTTCCTTGTCCTCTGGCCCTGCTCAGGACCAATCCTACATGTATCACATCCGTCTTACTAGAATTCTGCTGGGGCCCACATGACATTATGATTTAGTGGATCTGATAGAACACACCTTATGATGAACAATTCTGTTGTCATTGTTACTGGATATTCCAAGATCAAGTTCTCTGTCTCTACCAGGGCACGGTATCACATTAAGGACTACTTTTGGAATGGTCTCTGCTGCAGATGGCATAACATTGTTCCAGAACTCTACAGTCAATGTGGTGATTCTCTTACTAGGGCCACAAAATTTATTTTCCCATCAGAGATGTCTCTAATAGCATAGTTCTACTAGGCTATATGATTCCAGGAGCAGGTCTCCTTGCACCATAACCTGAGACTTCTTCAGAGCTTTTTCCTATTCTGGACCCCACTCAGGAAATGGTTCAATGCAGTATTTCCAAGTGTTGAAGATGCTGACTCCAGAACCCCAAGAGCCCACTGGGCACTATGCTTCTTAGTGCTGGGGTGTCTGGCATGTCCCAGTCCACTGGACATTGATAAGGAGAACTGCTGAATCTTCTTTGGATGTATCATTTACCCTCTAGAGCACATGCCTCTTGACAAGGCCTCTAGCATTCTTGCCACAGCTTAATCACTTGTTCTGATTAACCTAATGGGGCGGTTATCTGTTGCTCTCTTTGAAATGACACATCAGGTTAAAACAGTAAATGTTTATTATCTCACAGTTTTTGTAGGTCGGGAATTCAGGAGTGGCATACTTGAGTGATTCTGGCTCAAGGTCTCCCATGAGGTTACAGGCAAGATGCTGAGTCATCTGAAGGTTTGACTGGGCTAGAGGATATGCTTTTATTTAATATGATGGCTCACTTAAATGGCTTTTGGCAGCAGGACTCAGCTCCTTTCCACATGAATCTCTCTGTAGGACTAATTCAGAGTCCTTATCACATGGAACCTGACTTCTCTCATAGCAGGTGACCCAAGAGAGAGCAAGGAATGGAGCTGAATGTCTCAGAAGTCACACATCATCACACTGCACCAATCTATTTGTTAGTCACTAAGTCCAGTCCACACTCAAGGGAAGAGAAATTAAGCTCCACCTCTTGAAGGAGGAGATACCAAAGGATTTGTGGGCATACTTGCAAACCACCACGCATGATATCTCTACTATAGTGGATCTCTGTGATGATATGCAGGATGTCCAGGTGGTCCAGGTTTCTTAGGGCTATATCATGACTGAAGGAAAAAGAAAATGCCTGTGTTATTAATGGGCATCTGTTACCTTTTCTTGTGCTGTGCTGTCCTTAGTCGCTCAGTTGTGTCTGACTCTTTGTGACCCTGTATACTGTAGCCCGCCAGGCTTCCCTGTCCATGGGGACTCTCCAGCCAAGAATACCGAAGTGGGTTGCCATGCTCTCCTCCAGGGGATCTTCCCAATCCAGG